TTTCCTCTGGTACTTCTACGTGTTTCATTTCCACATTAAATCACTATTTATCACTTACTCTCATATAAAATGTGACCAGGAAATCCAGTTTTCTATTTCAGACAGCTGCTCAGCTGTGTCGTCCACTTCATGATGGATCAGTGTTTCTTGAGCTGATGTGGAGCCTTGCCATCTCCTGTGATACCCACAGACAGCGGTTCTGCGCAGGAGCTTTCTCTCCCCCCATCAACTTGCCTCTGTGTGTGTAACCACACTGTTGAGGTTACTGTAGCTTTATGCTATGTTTTCACGTCAGAGACTTCTTTCTGTTCACTTTGAGGCAACAAGAGGTGTGATGGCAGAGGGCATTTTGTGAAACTTAACAGCACGGGGCGCAGGTGGAGCATGGGGGAGGGGCCCTGCTGTCCCCATCCAGAGCAGACTACAGGAGGGAGGAACGGCAGGCCACAGGGAGCATCACTGCAGAGTCATGGCCTCAGTACTGGGGTTGGACGGACCATTACAGAAACAGGGTGTCACAGAATTAGCTGACTCCAACACAGGATTTATGTGTGCTTCTGTCATGAAAAGCCTTTAGGTGGGGTGCCCTAAGCTGGTGAGAAGACACCACGGTGCCACTGAGGCGTTTTGCTTGGTGGCATCAGTGCATAGGGCCTCCATCCCTAAGGCTACCTCTTGGCCCAAGTTGGCTGCTGGGGCTCCAGCCATCCCAGGGTATGGGGACAGAAGGAGCAGAGGGGGTATACCTCCGTTTCCTGTGGAGAACCTTTTCAGGTGCCCTGCTGCTTCCGCCAGTCTTAGTCACCTGGCAGTGTCCAGCTGCCCAGCAAGCAGAAAATGCAGTCCTTTATGCTGGGGATAGGCATCCAGCTACCAGCAACTCCTGTGTCCAGGCAAGAGGGTGAAGAGATCAGCCATCAGCTGGCTGCTCTGAAAGGGCCATCACACAGGATGGAGTGGGACGTGGCATCCTGGAGTTGTCACCTGCCTATGGGGGATGGAGCCCTGGGATGGAAGAGAACCTCCTTTCCCCATAGACCTGTATGCAACAGTGTCTACATGTGACAGTCCCTACAGACTACAGACCCCTGAGAATGACCTATTTGACCTCCACTTCCTCCCCAGCTGTTAACCACCTGCTGTCCTGAGTGCCCCTGGCTCTATGTCCAGACTTACCCTCCCCATAGAAATGTCACCCCCTTCAGGAAGCTTCACCCCTTCCCTTGATTAGCCTAGGAAGGTCCCTCTGAGCTGAGTGACACTTCAGAGCCATGTGAACCTCAAGTGGCCCAGGGCAGAGACCTGGGGACCCCACATTGGGTCCTGGGTACCACTTTGGGGGTTAGTGGATGTCACCGATAAGGCTGGCTTACTGGGAGCAGGGAGCAAGCGGTCAGAAGTGACTCTGCAGGTAAGGGAAGAGGAGCAGGAGGGCAGAGGCAGTGACTGGCCCAGCGGAGGACTATGGGACTGAAGAGACGGCCACAGAAGCACCCTCTGTTGCCACGTGGGGGAGGGGACCATGTGGATGAGGGCAGGAGCTGGGCAAGTGCTGGCAGGAGAGCGAGGACAGAAGCAAGTCCTGGAGATGGGGAGTGAGAGTCTGGGGGCCACACTCCCCGACAGTGGCAGAGCTGAGCTCATCTCTACTGGACTGCAGGTGGGGCATGAGGGGTCCGCTGAGCCCGGGGTCCAGCGGGGGCAGCAGCAGAGGAATAGCAGCCAGTTCTTGTCAGGCAGCAGGGTGCGGGCCATGGGGGCTCAAGTGGAGAAGCCAGTGAAGAGGCCGGTGTAGACAGCGAGTGTAAACAGCTCTTGAGGTAACTCTGGTGTGGAAGGGGGCAGCTGGGCTACCCAGGGTGGAGCAGGAGGAGGGTGTGGACATGTGGTCCGGTGGGGAAGAGTGGGTGAGGAGGGAGGGCACACTGGGAATAGGCAGGTAGCCTGAGCAGGCTGTGGGACGGACAGTGGGGGGCCATGGAGAGAGGGACGTGGACACGGTGGGGCAGCGGGCTGCTGGCCAGGTGAGTGCCCTCTCCAGGGTGAGGCCCAGCTGCCGGGTGGAGCTGATGAGACTTGAGCGGGGCAGCTAGGCAGGAGAGCAGGCAAAGCTTCGATGGTGGCAGGTCAGCTAGCAGCCCCCATACCCATTCTCCCCTCCTTAAGAGGAGGAAGTCACCACCAGCTTTAAAAACTACATTTCCCAGCCACCCTTGGTGAGGAGTGGTCATGTGACCAAGCTCAGACCAATGTTATGAACAGCTGTTTTACATGGGCTTCTGGGAAAGCACCTTAAAAGGAAAAGGGGTGTACCCCCTTCTCTCCTCTCCTTCCTATCTGCTGCCTGGAATGGGGATGTGATGGCCAGAGCCTTGTCCTTCATCTGGGTCCCTGAGGATAAGCTCCCAGCCCAAGAATGCTATAGCACACAGTGGGATGGAAGAGGATTTCCAAGAACTCTGTGTAGGTGTCATTGCTGCCTGGGCTGCCAGTGGCCAGATTTCCATCACGTAAGAAAAAATGAATAATCTCCTCTCAACTTGTGTTCATTTGGATATTCTCTTTCATGCAGCCCAAACCAATCCTAATAGCAACCCACCAGAGTGCCAGCTGTGGGCTGGCTGAGCGGTGTGGGCAGTAGCCTCATGGGGAGGGGGCTCTGCCTCTGTCTGGGCTCAGCAGTGCCCGGGCAGGAGACAGCACAGCCTTCGGACAGGCCTGGATTTGTCCAGGTGCACACCTGTAGGGCCTGTGCCTTGCTTGACAGGAGGCAGAGATGAAAGGGGAGTAATCTAGGACGCGGGTGGATGCTGACGCAGCCAGGACTGGTCCTAAGATCTTGAGGAGGGACCATCCCAGAGTGCACCCAGATCTTGGAGCTGAGACAGCCCTTCGTAGCACTAACACCAAAGTGGGGCCCCCATGGTGGGGGGACAGCAACGAGGGGCTAGGAAAACCACCACTCACCTCTGCCTCTAGCTCAGGCTGGGGGTGCCGGCTCACGGAGGCCTGAGCACCGTGGGCTGTGGGGCAGACTCGCAGGGTGACTGTACCCGGCCTACCACGTCTTCTCCCTCCAGGGCTATGATGGAGCAGGCCCCACTGAGCTCAAGCAAGGGGGACTTTGGGAAAACCCCTGCACCTTTGCTGTTGTCCTCCCTGCGCCCAGGAGGTGGAGGCTATGGCTTCTTGCTTGGCAGCCCTCAAGCCCAGCCAGGCTAAGTGCACAATAATGCTGATGATTTGAGTTTAGGCCAAGAGCCATCTGGAACTTTCTGGAGCTCTGGGTCTCCTCTGCCAGCTGCCTGTACCCTGGATGCACAGGCCTCAGTGGTGAGACAAGGGGTGTCCTCACCCCCTCCACCCTCTGCTGTTGGATTGCACAGACACATCGGGTCTGCTGAGCTCTGCCAGCCGGAGAGCCCTGCTCTTGGGCAGACAAGGCAGCACAGTTACTTAGAAAATTTCCTGCTGCCAGTGCTGAGCAGGTGGAGCGCAGAGAAGGGGTGGCAGGTGTGTATGGGGTTCTGAAGCAGAGCAACGGCCTGCAGGAGGCCAGCCCCAGCGGTGGGCAAGGTGGTCCCAGCCGCTTCTACCCACAGCCCCACCGACTGGGGACTGCCCCTCGGTGGCCCTTTACCCACTAGTGATGGTGAAGTCAAGGGTGTCGCTCTCTCCGCTGCTGCCCCGGCAGGTGTGGGAGTCGCTGCCACCCACCACTGCCACGCCCTCCGCTCCCCAACTCAGCCTCCGTCCTTCTCAAAGTGGGTGCGGCTGGGTGCGAAGTGGGGCAGCTACCAGGTGCGGGAGCAAGTTCTGAGAGCTCAGCCGGCTCCTCCCGCGGAGGGGACGCCGCCTAGAGAAGACGCATCCCCGAGCGCAGCCGGCTCCCTCTGCGGCGCAGGCCTCGGCGCGGAGCAGTCACCGCCCCCGGCACCCTGCTGCCCCTCCCCCGAGTTCTTCCCAAGTCCGGGCGGTGCTGCCCCAGGGACCCCTCCTCACCGCGCCCCAGTGCCTGCATCCCCGCAGCTTCGCCTCTCGCGGCGGGCAGCCGCCAGCTCAGGCGCCGCCGCATCTCCCTTCCCCGCGTCCCCAGGGCTCCAGGAACCGTGTGCGGCCCGCGCCCAGAACGGGACCCGCAAGTCGATGCGCCGGCCTGGAGCGCTACCTGCTGCCGGGCTTGCGGTCCAGCTCGGGCGCCCTTGGGCAAGTCGCTGGAGCTTGGGGAGCCCCCGTTTCCCTCCCCTGGGAAGCCACAGGAGCTGGTTTAATTTATTTCACCGCCTCCCCGAGCCTCCTCCGAGCCTGGGGGTGCAAGTGCCCAACCCGAGCCGTCCCGGCCAGGCCTGCGGTGGGTGCCCAGAAGACAGTGTTGCTCCCAGCCCAGACCCTGCGCCCGGCTCCAGCCGGCCGGGCGTCCACCACCCCGAAGAGCCCCCTAAGGCAACACAGAGGAGGAAAGGGATGTCCCTGAAGCCATGGGCCCCAGGGTGGGGGAAAGGAAGACGCGGGGACCAGGGCCTCTCAGAGGACAGACTTAGTCACCCAACCCGAAGCCTGTGTCTGTGTGTGTGTTCCTGTGTGTCTGTGTCCCTGTGTGTGTTTGTGCGTCCCTGTGTGTCCGTGTGTGTGTCTGTGCGTGTATGTCTGTGTGTAGGGTGTTGGGGGGGGGCGCTACGGGAGGGCAGAGTTTGGCCAGGGGACACCGGGGCCTGAACGCAGTGCCTGGTCCAACGGCCCGAGGCACCTCCGACGCGACGAAGTCCCCACGGACGCGCGCGGGCAGGCGGGAGCCTGAGGAACGCGGTGCAGCCTCCTGCGGTTTATTGATTGAGCGAAGTTCAGCAAAGTGCTTCCGAGCGGGCCGAGCCCGGCCCCTACGCGTACAGTCCATAATAAACGTAAAACTCTTCTGTAGCAGCCGGCTGTGTACCGAGTCCACGACTGCGGCCGCACAAGCCCGGTGGCGGGCGCCTGCGGGTCCCCGTCCGCCGCCGCGCTCAGAGGTGCGGCGCGTAGAAGGCGGGCGCGCCGTAGGTCTGTGAGCCCAGCACGAAGGGCGACAGCACCGCCGGGCTCGACAGGAAGGGCAGCTGCGCGGCGCACACCAGGCCGCCGGGGCCGTGCGCCGGGTACCCGGCGGGGCCATGCATGGCGAGCGGCGCGCCCATGGGCGGCGACGGGCTGAGCGGGCTGAGGCCGCCGGGAAGCCCCGCGCCCGGCCCCGCACCCGGCCCCGCGGCCCCGCCGCCGCCGGTCGGCGCGCTCGTGTCGGCGCCAGGGTTCTGCTTCTTCCACTTGGTGCGGCGGTTCTGGAACCAGATCTTCACCTGCGTCTCGGTGAGGCTCAGCGACAGCGCCAGGTTGAGGCGCTCGCACACCGACAGGTAGCGCGTCGCCTTGAACTTGTTCTCCAGCGCCACAAGCTGCTCGTAGGTGAAGGCGGTGCGCGCGCGCCGCGGCTTTCCGGACTTGGAGTCCGAGCCCGTGCGCTTCCGCTTTGGCTTCGTCGCCGCGGCCGCGCCCTGCGGGGTCGTGCCCGTGCCCCCCGGCGCCGCCGCCGAGGCCCCAGGCGGGACGGGGGCTCCGGGCGAGTTCCCGCGGGGGCCGGGCGCTGCAGCCTCGTCCACTGCGCCGGGGGGGCGCCTCGGGTTCGGCCGCACCGGGGCAGCCCGACCCGCGGGCCGCGAGGCCGCCGCCGCCTCCCCGAGCCTCCTCCGCGCCGCGCGCAGTCCCCGCGTCGGGCGCCTCGTCGTCGTCGTCGTCGGGCGCCTCGTCCCCGCTGTCCGCGCTCGGGCTGCGGCCGCCACCGCCGCTGCTGTAGCCGCTGGCTTCGGCCTCGTCCGCCTTGCAGGGGTCGCCGGCGTCTGCGGGCGGGCGGGGCGGGGAGGACAGGACAGTTAGGACGCGGCGCCCTCCCTTACGCGCGCTCGTCCCCTCGGGCTGTCCCGCCCCGGGAAATGTTCCCTCCTCCGGGGTCGTCGCTTCTCTGCCTTATTGCCCTCCTCCTCTTTTTCTGCCCGGCGCTTTCGTTCTCCTTCCCTCTTCCCTAGGCGCCCGCCCGTCCGCCCGCGTCTGCTCTCCATCCCTCGCTCTTTCCCTCCTCTCGAAGCTTCCCCTTCGCGGCGTCTGCCCGATCCGGGCCGGCCGGTGCCGCGCGCGGGGTTCACGGCGGAGTGAAAGCTCCGATCGATCCGCGGGGCAGATACAAACTTAATTAAACTCATTTTGTGTAATGTACAAACCAGTTAACGGCCATTTAATTTATTTCGGCGTATATTACCCTCCAATTACAGAAAGGCGTGGGCCAGCCAATTACCGGGCATTGTAGAGCCAGCGGGCCAGAAGCCAGGGGGGGACTGGAGATGCCTGCCGGGAGGGGACTTCTGGGGACCAACCAAACCCGGACTCCCTGGCCCCACTTCCACCTCAAGCCGCAGCGCCGAAACTTGGCAGCCCCTACGCCCCTCCGCTGAAAGCCCGCAGACCTGGGTCCTGACCAGAAGGTCCTGGCCCCGCGGTGGGTCCTGAGCAGAGCTAACTTGCAGGGGGGTGGGTGGGAATTCCCGTCCCCACTAGGCCCAGTCTGAGGGGCAGCCCTGATCCTCCAAGCAGAGGCCCCTGAAGGGCTGCATTTCCAGTGTGGAAAAATTGGAAGAATCTGTCCTGGGGAGGGCCTGGGAGGCCATCTCTGCAGACCGCACCCCACAGGTGGTGGTGGCTCCTGGGCACGTGTTGGTCACTGAGCAACCGTCAGGCACCAAGACTCCGCTGTTGTGTCAGGTTGGCATCAAGAACCCAGGCAATAAATGTCGAATCGTGGGCCAGCAGCCTTCCCCAGAGTGACTGCAGAGTTTGCATGGGAATCAGCAGGTCTCGTGTGTGGGGGTGGGGGGCACCACACCCCCTAGCAGGAGTAGGCTGTCCCCTAGAGGATCCTGAGAGCACCTGGCCATCTAGCTTTGCCTTGTTGGAGGTAGTCGGAAGAGGAAGACGGCCTGACCAGGCTACCCCTGGAAAAAAGAGACAGGGCCTTCCGCTGGGATGGGCTCCCCATGCGGGTGGAGGCTCTGGGTGGAGGCTCCCAGAACCCTGGCTAGGCCAACAGCCTGATAGGTTCCCCTCCAGCCAGGCTGGGCTTGCTCCTCCTTCATCTCCACCCCACATGGAACCCACCAGCCCATGTACCCAGAGGGCCCTATGCCCCAAGACAGCGACCCCAGCCCTGTCCACCCTGCACTCCCGTCGCTGCTCAGCGGAGGGGCTGGGAAGTTGGAGGGAGGAAGGGCCGGAGGAGGGGGCACCAAAAGCAATCAGGAGCCGGTCGAATGCAATTCTCGATCAATAGCGGCCCCTAATAAGTGTAATAGGTTTTAATCGAGTAATTATCCGAATTTTGACCCTATAATTTAGATGTTCGGGGGGAGTTTGCAAGGTGCTTGAAAGAGATATGCATGCTGCCGTAATGGGATATCGACCCGGCCGGGGGCGCGGGCCGCCCCATTACCGGCCGCTTTCCGCCGCTAAGCACATTTCCCCTTAACTGTAATCGAAGGGATTTAATTGTTTTTCCAGAGATAACCAGCGTTTTGTCACAATTAGTCTGATTTGTCCAAAAAAAAAAAAAAAAAAAAAAAAAAGAGAGAGAGAGAGAGAAGGAGGAGAAGGAGGAAATGGGGAGGGAGGCCTCCGGCGGCCGCGGTGGGGGCGGGGAGGTCACGAGCCCTCCGCCTCGCAGGTCCCCTCCTCCTCTGGCACCAACTACCTTCCAAGGCCGGCCCTGCAGCCCCGCAGCCCTGGGACCGGCCCGGCGGAGCCATCCCGGGAGGCGCGGGGCGGCCCCGGCCCCGGAGTCCGGGTCGGACGGAGCCCCGCACGCTGCGAACTTTGCACTGAGCCTTGGCACACGGCTGGCCCGGCTGGCCCTGCTGACCGAGGGGCCCGGGAGAGTAAACGTAAAGATGCGGCCCGTCCCCCGGCTCCCGCTACCGGAGCGGGCCGCGTCCTACTCACGCGGCGGCTCAGCTCCGGTCGCGGCTCCAGCTCCTCCGGCGGCGGCGAGGGCGCGGCGCTCCAGCTCCTCCGCGCGCGGCGGGCGTCCCGGGGCGGCGGGGGCCGGGGCGCAGGGGGCCGGAGCGCACGGGGCCGAGGCGCATGGGGCGCATGCGGAGGGCGCCACGGGGCCCAGAAGCACACAGCGGCGTCTTCTGCTATTGAACTTGTGGGGGTCCAGAATGTCCAGCACCGAGAAGGAGGTGGGGCGCGGCGGCGGGCCAGGGCGAACCGCCCCGGCCCCTTCGGGCGCCGCGGGCACCGTGTCGCTGGCGGCGAGCGGCGGGGGTCCGGCCCGGGGGAAGCCGTCCATGGCGTCCCGGGCGGTGGCAGCGGCGGGCGTGGGCGGTGCGGGCCCCGGGCCGGGCCCAGGCGGCGGCGGCGGCAGCGCCGGGCCGTCCCCGGGAGCCGCCGGGCCGCTCGCGCTCATGCCGGCCTCCCGCCGCTCCGGCCGCTCGGGCCCCGCCGGCTACTGGGCTCCCATCCCTGGCGGCCCTGGCGCCGCCGCACGGTCTCGCGCCGGCGGCCGCGGCTCGCCTGGCTCTCGGCACCGTGCCCCGCGCTCCGCCGCTGCTGCCCGGCGCTGCCTCCGCCGCCGCCTCAGGCGCCCGCCGCGCCCGGCCCGCGCATTTATGGCGGCCCCGCCGGCGGCGCCCACGCGCCCACACGCCGCACACACGTGCGCCCGCAGGCGGCCGCGGGGCTCCGCCGCCCTCGTTAGCGCGCGCGCCTAATTGGCTGCGAACGGTCCCGGGCGGAGGAGGCGGGCCCCGCGCGGGACGCACGGACGGAGCCCCGGGCCCGACCGACAGACGCGCCGCCCGGAGCCCGGGTGCGGGCCGCGAGCAGCTGTCGCGGTCAGCCGCGCGTCGCTGCGCCTCCGCTCGTCCAGAAACGGTGCGCCTGCCTCCTGGGCAAAGGGGAGGAGACAGCCGTGGCTTTTAAATAATTGCGGGATCAATCGGTGGAGGGGCCGCGGAGGCCCCGGGGCGCACGGGCGGGCGAGCGCTAAGACTTGGCTGGGACATCCCGGCGCGGGACGCGGCGCCCAGGCGGCTTCTCTGCGGGCTCAGGGCGCGCGGTCCTGCCACTCCGGTGGTCCCCAAGGCTCCGGCGTCCCTCAGCGGCTGGGGCGGGGTGGGTCCTGGGGACAGACTCGGGATGTCTTCCTCGCTTCTTCAGCCCCCTCCCACGGGTTCCGTGGACATCGGTCCCGCCTCTCCCGGTCGCTCCTGCCGGGGTCTCTTCTCGCGGCTCCGGGTCGCCGTCCCTCCAGCCCCTCCCGCTCCCGCCCCTTTCGCGTCGTCAAACTAGGGCCCGGCCTTGTACCCCGCGAGGGGCGGGGCCGGCGGCCCCTGGGTCGCTCATTAGAAGTGGGATCGAAAATGAGGGAGGCTGGACGGCCCTCCCACCCCCGCCCCCAAAAATGGGGACCAAAGAATCCTACATACAGCAGGCGGCCTACATAAAAATCGATATGCAAGTAAGGGGACACATTACGGCAAACTCTTCCAGCCCCACGCCGGGAGAAAGAAGAAGGCCCTCGGTCCGGGTCTTTATTTGCACATATTTCTCCACAGAAGCGATGTTCGCACCACAGGTCCCTGCGGCCCTCGGAAGGACCGGCCAGCGTCCGGCGTCCGAGGGTAAGACCACCGCTGCTCCTGGGCAGCTCCCTTCCCCCTTCCCACAGCAGAGCCGGCGAGCGCTTGTGCCGCTGGTGGGACCCAGGTGGGAACCCGCGGTGGGAGCGCGCGTGCGAGGGTCTTCAGGGTGTGAGGCTGTTTGCGATGGGCGCGAGTGTGCGCGCGGGCGTGTGCACGAGCGGTGTGCGCGCCACCTCTCACTGCGGTCCCCGGAGCCTGCTCCGCACACAAGGACGGGTCCTTTGCAATTACCGCGGGCAATGATCCTTTGGAAGCAGAAATTAAAAGTTGGGAGAAATAATGGGGGACCAATCGGCTGTAATTTGGGCCAACCTCGGACATGCTGAGCCTCAGGGAGGCTGGGACTGGGGGCGGGGGCGAGGAGGCAAGGCCTCCCCTCTCCCAGCCCATCCCCTCCCCCGCATGCTGGTCCATCCTAAGATTCTAATCAGACCCACAACACTGTGTCCTTCCTTGCCAGGACTTGATTATTCTTTATCTTTAAATTATAAATCACCTCTGGGGGAAGGAGGGTGGATAATCTCTCATCACAGGGAGGTAATTATCTCCTTCCCTCCCCCACCTTTCTGGCGGGACTCTTAGGCTCTCTCTACCCCTCCCCCAGCTAAGTTTGAATATAGATGTGCACACCCCATTCACACACACACACACACACACTTACACATACACTCATTCAGCAGGATGCGCCACATACAATCCCAGATTCATTCAGGAGCACCTAGCTGGTCTGAGGCGCAGGAACCACAGAGGATCTCAATGCCCTGCAGCCAGCCTCACCTGCACCTGCCAGCTTTGCGCTGGTCTCAGTCCTCTCTTTAAGTCTTTCCAGGAGGATGGCACACAGGGCCCCTACCTGCAGAGTCCCTGAGCTGCCACTCTGCCCTCTGAGGCACAGGGTGAGGTGTGCTAGGGCAGCTCTCCAGTGCAGACCTTTGACTTGGCTCTGGGTGGTTGAGTTTCAGTGTGACCTAGAGCATCACGACCTCCTCCTGTGCGTGCTCACACTCCATGCCACACACAGTCTCTCCCTATCTACCATAGGTCACCAGGGGAGGCACAAACATGGCAGTCACTACCCCCACACCCTGCTGGGTGGGCAGGGGCAGAGTGTGGGTCTGCTTTCACCCCCGTTTTACACACCAGACACCTGCAGGTGAGGAATAGAAATGGGACGCCTCTTGATATAACTTTCATTCAACATAAACCCACATAAAATGACGTTGTATATAATGTCAATATAGTGTAATGTATGGTAAATAGTACTAAAGCATAGTAAACAGAATACAGTATATTAAATATGATACATACTAAGCATAATGAAATAACATATTGTAATATACAACCATATATTCACACACTCAGCACAGCAGGCTGTGCTCCCTGCTAAGAGGTGGGGATTGGTTCAGGGCTTAGTGCTACTTGGACAAAAAGTGCTGTGACTGTCCTGGAGTTTAGAGTCACCAATATTCTCCTCCTTGGCTCTCCTCTCCCCTCTCTTCCCTGTGAACTGTCTAATGGGAGCTGCAGCCATTAGAGTAATGAGCTGCAGAGTCTGACCCAGGGGAATAGGGGCAGGGCAATGGGGTGTGAGGGGAGGCCTCCAGTGCTACATAGAGGACCTTGGGTCATGTTCCCATGAAAAGAGGGGGTGCTATATGAGGACAAGGGTCAGGGAGATCACGACATCTGCTCCTGTCCCATGCCTCCCCCACATCTAAAAAACAACCCAAGTAAGTCATGGCATTGCACAGCCCCCGTCCTACTCTCTCAGATACCCGGGAACAACCCTCCACTCCCCCCAACTTCAACTCAGAGCTTCCAGGGCTATAAAGACATCCTTTCGCTCCTAATCACAATTGATTGTCAATTAGACCCTCATTTGTGCAATCTTTGCCCATCTGCCATATCGGGTTATCTCCAAGCCACCAGCTTCACTTGCAGGGCCCCAGGTGGGCACTGACAGGTGAAATCAGTGCCTGAGATAGGGATGCCTCTGCCTACATGGTGGACAGGAGACACCACTTCATTGCTAAGCCTCCACTCACTGCACATCAGGAGGACCAGATGGGGTCACTGGGAGGCTGGGGGAGGGGCTGCACCAAAGCAGGAAGCAACATGGAACAAGTGAAGAAATCTGGGAGAGGGACTGGTGGTGAAGTGACCCAGGGAAAAGTAGTGGGTGAGGGCTGAGATTATGCAGAAGAGGAAAGGGAGGAAGAGGAAGGGGAGGTTTTTGAGGGATAGGGATTGGGGAGAGTGGAGCATCCAGCCCTTTCAATCCATGGCCATTTCCTCTCCCCACATCAGAGTTTTTGGAAGTTTGGGGTGTACAAGAGCAGAAGAGGCATTCCTCTACTGCCACTAACTTATCATGTGTTTATGAACTCCCTCCTCCATGTCTTCTTCTGTCAATTATGGAGGCCGGGTTCTATGTGATCTTTAAGGTCCCTATACCTTCCCCTTGTGAGTTGAATGTCAACACTATCACAGCCTTCATAGGGGTAGGGGCCTCCCTTCTCTTGCACCTGGAGAGCTTTATTGGACTGAATGGAGGGGCAGCAATGTTCTGGGGTCTACAGGGCACATGGATGGATAACCCCCACTTTGTATAATGTTGGCTTCATGCAAAGCACACCCCATCCTAGACTGTCCAGCACCCCCCAACATCGCCATGAAATATGCAGGGAAGAGATTATTACCCCCATCTACAAATTAGTGTTCTGACTCTTTGAGTTCATACTGGGTCCTGCTGATGACATGGTGCTTTCTCTGCCTGGGCCATTCTCCTGCACACCTTTGGGAAGGATGCAGGAGGTAGAGGCGGAGATGGAGAACAGAAGGCTTCTACTCTCCTTCCTTCTGCCTCTCCACCGGCTCCACTCCATGGTGAACCCTTTTGCTCATCCAGAGTTTGGAAAACAAGACGGGAACTTTCCGATTTTAGGCTTCTTTACTCATCTTTTAAGATACGCCTCTCCTGAGGTCTCCTGACTTCTCGAGCAAGGGTACCCCACCCTCAGAACACCAGAAAAGAGAGGAAATATGGGCAGCTGGCTGCGTTTGCCAACTGCACAACCTCGGCACCACGGGCACCTTCGGATCCATGGACAGCGCCGTTGCACGTCAGTACCACCGACAGCGCCCCCGCCCTGTTCCGCCCAGGACTGAGCCTGCTCCCGAGTGGTCAGCACCGCGGACAGCGCACAAACCTCCAGGAGTCTTTGCTCTCCCTGGTTATCGACCCGCTGACTTCTGCGCCCCGCCCTGGGCTCTCTCCCCGACCTCCGGGATACCCCAGAGGAGGAAAAGGGCGACAGGGTGTGTATGGTGTGGCGTCCTGGCACCGTGTATGCTGCGCCCAGCTCAGTCACCATGGCTAAGCCAGAACTAACCAAAGCGCCAGGGATTTTTACAAGGTTTTCACTGCCTGGGTTTGAATGGTTCTCTTTGTAAGCTGCGTGAGTTCAAAGATGAAGAGCACATAGCCCTGGGCCAGTTCATGGAAAAGGGTCAGTCGAGTGCAAAGGTGAGGTTTAAACCCTTTAAACTTAAGACAAAAACAAAATTGCAGATCATCAAAACTGGGAGTGGTTCTCAGGCTGTGTGTGGAGGGAAGGACACCCAACTCCCACAACAGCACTGGGGAGGTGGTGGCCAGCTTCCTCTCTTGGCCTCAGAGGACATCCTAGTTCCAAAGGGTTTTCTGACCAGAGCGTAGGGCAGGGGTGAGGATGACCATTTCACAGATGGGTGAACTGAGGGT